ATTTCCCGTTTGTAATCTAAAATGACTGAAAATTGCAAATTTCGCAAGGCTATATATTTCCGCATTTTACAACATTTCGCAACGAAACTTCGGAATATCACTAATTCTGCGATGCTCTTTCAAGCTGTGATGAAATTTTTGTCTAGACTTGTTTAGATCAAAATTTAGTCTATTACGCAAATGGTCAATCGGGGTTTTATTTACCTGTTTATACAAAACAAATGGATAAGATTTTACTTTTGTCTTGTCAGTTATAGATACACAGTATGACGTCATAATGTGGAAAGAACAAATGTGTGACCCACTCGCCTCGGCCACAGAGTAAGTACATACAGAGGTCTCACTTCAGGTTAATTTAGCGTAAGGGATTTTTTTGAAAAATACGCCATGTTCATAGCCTTTTTACGTAAACTGCGCATGTGCAGGTACTGGCTAAGAACATGGCGGCCAAAAAAAACACCTTACGGTTTTTTCGCTGAGATAAGCCTCTGTATGTTATTCAGGCCCACAGCACAGAGCTGTAGCTAGACCGATAATTGGTGGAGGGATTAATATATTCATGTTCCGCTCGACAGATTTCTTTTGAAAGCGATTGTTTTTACGGTATGTGAACATGAATATGCACCCCCCAATTATCGCGTCAAACTACGGCCATGCCACAGCATCCCTGAATTTAACTTTGTGACATATGCATGTACTGCACAATGTGTTAAAATTTTCATTACAAAGTGTATTCTAAAATTTTAGTAACAAAGTTATGTTTGAGTCAAATTTGACTTTGATCCATCATTGGACTTTTTTCAAGGGGAGGTGCAAAAAATCTCTGAGCGGGGTAAAACGATCTCAGGGGAGGTGTGTACTTCTCAAAATCTAGCCATGGTTTCAGATGTTATTTCAAAACAGTTGTTCCAACTTACACAATTTGATAGTTTCCTTCTGCTAAGGGTTCTTCTATAATAGCTAAAGTCATTCTGAATCGATGGGTTTGTCATCTATCAAATTCAAATCAGAATCTTAGTGTAAGACAGAAGCGAGGAAATTTTGGTTTATGATGAAAACGTACCATACGTTGAAAACGAGGAATAGTGATGATACTTGATTAAAATAGATGATAGAAAATAAGCTAAGAAATAGGGTAGATGACGGTGGGAAAATATTTGAGAATGAGAGTATCACTTCTAAGAAATTTTAAACAGCTGTATTTGTTAGGTTGAAGATTTGAAGGAAACCCTGACATGCATGTTCAACCATTGTCCCAACAACTTGACAGATATCTCTCCATATAAAACTAGGGCACTACTGTATGTTACACACAGACTTAGCACAAAAATACTCAATTTGTCTGCCGGAAATGTTTATGTCCAAGTTGTGCTCTCACAAGGAAAATTATTTCCTTTCAGTAATGGGAGTAGAAGGAACTTGTAGGAAAAAAGAAGTCAAAGGATATGGTGCAGATTATGGAAGATACCAACTTCTGGAGAATGACACAAGAAACTGAGTTACATAGAAAGGATTGACCCCTAATATTAAAGGAAACAGTGATGTAGAAGAGATATCCACCTTTAAGTCGTCAAATTTCAGTGTAAAGTGTAAAATATCTGCAAACTGTTTGGCAAGTGCCTAAAAGAAACATTATGCAATATTTAGTTTATTACAAGAATACATTAACCTATGCTTCTCACTAGAGCAATATATTTCCACATGTGCATGTAGTAACATTAGTTTTATAGAAACCTGTTGTTGTTCCAAATGTTCAACTGGTGTAAGGTTTCCAGAGCACAGTGCATTCAGTAATTGTGGTAATACAGCCTCTGAAATAAATATCAAACACAGTACAGTGTCAGAAAGATATGAAAATGATCCTGGGAGTTTTACAAGATGAGGAATCATGTGGGGGGTGATGAATGCAGAGAAGGTGAGGGAATAAGGCTGAGGTGATACATGGACACATAAGAAGAGATGGAGAGCCAGCCAAACACATTATAAAATGAAGAGACCACAGGAAGATGTGGGGGTGGTAGACAATGCAGGCAAGCTAGGTAAGAAAAGCAAGATGATATATGGACACATAAGAGATGAAGCCAAAGGCATGAAATGAAGAGATCACAGGAAGATGTGGGGTGGGGCAGTAGACACTGAGATGGTACATACGTAGACACATAAGAAGAGATGGAGAAGCTAGTCGGAGACATGAAATGAAGAAACGAAAGGAAGATGTGGGGTGATAGACATTGCTGGCAAGGCAAGCAAAGCAAGGCCGAGATGATATGTGGACACCTAATGAAATGCACAGCCAAACTTCATTTTGCAGAGAAGTCAAGGGAAGCAAGACAGGTAATTGTGTCTATCAGAGGTCATGAGAACCCAACCCTTACCTAACTCTGTGGCATATTCATAAAATTTCTTTAACTGTCCAACCAAAGGCATAACTGCTTTCCAGGCAACATCTTGTAGTTCTTCATTTGATGGATTTGATATTGCCTGTGATTCGGAAAAACAAAGCCATGTGGATTATAAATTCTTATTGCAAGTCCATGTTTGCACAAGAAATGCATCCCAAAGTGAATTTTCTCTTAATTAAATAACTTACACCTCTAATCTGCTCGTTAGCCCCTTGATAATCCTGAAGATCTTCAAGAATTTGCAGGGACAGATCTAGGACGGCTTTTACAACTTCATAGATTTCTGATTCTGATGACGTTGGTTGGGCATCTAGCAAAGCATGAACATGGCACAAATTAATGGAAGTGCTCTTCTCTCATGCAATTATGGCAAAATTATAGTCAGAAAACTACTGTATATTGCAGGAATTGAGTCCAAGTAGGGGCTTAATGAGTACGGGATGGAAACATGATAAAGATGGCTAAAATAAACTCCAGCAAAATAAGTGATTGTAAAGGAAACATGTTATTTATTAAGAATTATATGAAATAAATTCAAATCGATAAAGTTTGAGGAAGTTACTATGAGCTGAATAGTGAATCAATATAATGAATCTCATTTCATATAATGAATCTCATTAGCTACAGTAGGGCAACTTATATGAGCAAAAGTAGGCCCTAGCCTAACTAAGCTGCAGCTTAAATAAGTTGTGAGCGACTGCTATAAACAATCAATTTGTTCACAAGCCACTGCTAAAATAAGCCCATAGTTGAAAGCTAGGCCATAGAAATAAGCCACAAATTGATTGCTCATATCAGTTGTTCACAACTTATTTAAGCCGCTGCTTATTTTTGCCAGTATAAATGGCCTTGTAGTATTATTAAGCGTCATTATCATGTTGCCATCCTTAATTTGTCAAGCCCCCCGGGAGAAAGCCACTAATTACTGTAGTGTACCACCGACATTTCTACAATAACATTTGATATCAATAACATGATCTACATTTGATATCTAGGTTATTTTAACTTAATGTAATATTTGTTCTGTTATATTCTTTTGTTTGTTAAAAATTGTGAATATCGATCCGAATAAAATTTGTTAAATTAAATTAATATAATACAATTTTATAAACAAAACTTACTCTCAAAGTCAAGGAAGATATCCGACTTATTGGTGTCTGTATCCTTGGCATATAAAATTCTCAGCAAATTACCCATATTTTCCTAAACAAATCCCACAACAAACAAAGAATAATATACCTAAACATTGGCAAACATGTATTAATGCCACTCATTTCACTAACACATGTGGATGCTTGGTTACCTTTGTTTCATTGTATGCTTACAACACATTTATCATAAATTGAGCATTAGATAGAGTGGAAATATAAATAGGGTCATTCAAGAAAAGATCCATGCTCCCCCAAATGCTTTCATAGAGGAAATTTCTGTCATCCAGAGGGTGAGAGAAAAAATCATTTCTGATTAGTGTTTTAGGACACCTGAAGGGGGTAGGGGTTTACATCCAATTTTCTTTGTGGGGGAAGTACGACTCATTGCCACACAATGGTTAACAAGATAGATGGACACTGGACAGACCATCTAAAACCAGTTGTTTGAAAACCGGTTAGTTTAACCCTAGGGTAACGAAAAATTTCAAATCAATCTCGTTTATTAACATGAAAATATATTTCCAGTAATCTTTTCAGGGTGAATAGACTTTCTAGTTTCTAAAGTTTTCAAATAGACAACCAATACACAGACTAAATGGGCAATTCCAGTTATAGACTAAATTTTGGTCAAGGCAAAAGAACAAAATCCATCACCACAGCTAGAAAGCACATGTGAAAATTAGTAAATTGCAAAGTTTGGCCGCAAAATGTTGTAAAATATAGCCCTGTGAAATTTGCAAATTTTCTATTAATTTGTATTACGCACTGGAAAATATGCCACGTTTGGGTCGAAAGTGGTGCAAATTCTCGTGTGTAATACAAATTATTATAATATAGCATTTGTAAATTCCGAACGCTGATTGGCTAAGAGCTGTGTTGATATAACTCCATGTCAACACGGGAAATTTTCCGCCGCTTGTAAACACGGAAATTTTTCTTATTCTGCGGGCTTTTGACATTGCTATATTATAAAACAAATATAAAACATTTTTTCCGTATTGATATATAGTTATATCAACACTCGTGGAAGTTGGGAAAACTCGAAATTGTATGAAAACACTCCGCCCTTCGGGCGTCGTGTTTCCACACAATTTCTCGTTTTCCCAATTTCCACTCGTGTTGATATAACTGTATATCAACACGGAAAATGTTTTATATTTGTTAAATACAAAATTTGCAAATTTCGCAGGGCTATATTTTCCTCATTTTACAACATTTACCAACCAAACTTTGCAATTTTACTAATTTTAACATGCTCTTTCTAGCTGTGCTGAAGGATTTTTTTCTTCTTGTTTAGATCAAAATTTAGTCTATTGTTGAAATCATCCATTGGCAGGCTATTAAATATAAATTTTAATCCAAGGTTATTTTGAACAACCGGCCCTTGGTGTATAACGATGCATTTGGACGCACTTCCTTTTGCGCTCATGTAAACAACCAAAAGATTTAAAATATAATACACATGTAAACATCGAAATTGTACGTAAAATAAGTTTAGGAATTGGAATTTTTAACGTCAGTCCACCAATATGGTTTTACCACATTCATTTCAATAAAATAACAACAGATGTTGGTCATGCCTAAATTTATGCCAGAAAAGGCAATCCAAAATCATGGTAGATTGCAAAAGAACAGAAGAATAAACATTTCCAAACAGCATAAACAAAGGGGATGGATGTTGCATATATTTGACACCAAAATACAATAAAACACAAGACATTTTACAATAACCCTAGCTAATGATTAATTTGCTACATTTTTAATAATATAATATCATATGGTAAATTTATTACCCCATTGATAATTACGCACGCAAAAGTGTGATATTTCTTGTGCTATAGTATACTTACTTACAGCTTGTAATAAGTTCGTATAAACATCAATAACAATGTACATGTACACGTCAAAATGTAGTAAAAACAAAGGACTTTGAACTCGTTTAATTTGTTAATTAACTACAAAGTCCTGGAGCTATTAAAATGCCCGTTTTCAAGCCACCTCAAAATTAAATCTCTTCCAAAATAGCTTCACACGGAAGTGAGCAACAAACATTCGCAACTCAAAAGCAAAAGAGCAAATCCTAGCCACGCTATTTCATTTTAGTTTCATTTTTAGATTTTTAGAACTAGGGTTTTCCACTACGTGAAACAAAAATGTGTAGTTTGGAAAATGGGGTTTGGAAGAGGGCTATTTGTTATGAAATGTACAAGTTACAAATTTGGCCAAATTTTGGCGGAAGGAAGCATCGCTTCGAAAAACCAAGTAAGCCGGTTGGTTTACTGCCAGTTTTCTGAAGCAAAATATCAACAAACGGGCAATATCAGGCTCTATATTTGCCGTATAGCGGCTGTACTAAGTCTTGAAACTAACACAAGTTTGCCAGATGAAAGACAAACCACGTATTAGGTTCAAAACGGCAGGAGTTCGCTTGGCCAATAGCCACAGTGCAGTTGAACTCGAAATAGTTGCGAAGCTGCTTTGAAAGTTTACATAAATACCTTGGCTTTCCAAAGCGTCCACTTGCAAAGTAAATGCAGTTCTCGTGTAAAGAACTAATCCATCTTTCTTTCCCAAGTGTTTATACGGCAATCGAAGCGTCGGTTCGGTAGATAAAGCTTGCAGAATTGACGTTACTTCGTGAAATTTTGAATAGTAAATTTCAAGTTCGTTCGATATTTAGTTGACAAGCAGCGAGCCCACGCTGCAACGCCTCCTTACCCACAATGCAGTGCAAAAATACGCGTTGACCAAGAAAAGGACTGGGTACTACATAAAAATAACATCTCTCTAAAGACGAATTGCCAATTTTTCAACGTCACATTTTACGGTTCATGGTGTGTTTTGTTTCTTAGCCATATTGTCAGATGTTAGATATTCACGTTCATCGGCAAAAAACCTACGCGCATAATGGTAAAAAACAGAAACTTGTGGAAAATCAGCGTTACATCGATGTAATCTAGTTGCCGATTACTCCCGAGCACAAGTCGATTCTCTACGATTGGTTTCCAAATAAGGAGACGGGTAAGCGCGGGAAATTCCGAACTCCCAGAAGTGCGAAAAATGAAATTTCAAATATGGTTACTTTTCGGTAGAAAATGATGAAATTATATCGAAGATGTTTAGCTTTATTTTGGCCATTTTGTGGATAAAAAGATAATATAAGTTAGCGGAGTGTTCGTTTAGAAAGATGAGTAAATTAGAACACGAGGTAGGATGAAAGAAAACGCTATTTTTTATCGCCAAACTTGTTGTTGTCATTTCATGTGTTGTAAAATTTGTTTGTGTATACTGAGGTATAAATTTTGGTAATAAATGTTCAATATATGTTGTGTATTGTATTTTATGTTGAACTAAACGTTTAATTGAAAGTGCTTTTACTTTAAAAGTTGATATATATTAAATTGTCTGTATGAGTGGGGAAATGTTGAGTTTAATATTATGACAGTTCCTTGCGAGGTTCCTTGCTAAATTTCGAGTCTGTAAGTGGGCACATTATATCTGGGTTTTGAGATTTCTGTTTATTAGCCTTTCAGTGAATTCAAGCTACTAATTGTCAGTTGTGTGTAAGATATTTATAAAAATTAAGTCACTTCCAAAATGCTGTTTCAGTGTTTGTCAGCTATCAGTTGGGATATTTTGTCTGTTGTCAGTTTATAAATATAATGAAATTATCTGTAGTTAGTTACTACAAGTAAGTAAGTAACTGCTTTCAGATGATCTTGTTTATTTCTGGCCAACAGTCAGTTACCTGCTGAGTTTGAATGGCAATGCCAAATTGTACCACATTTACTTTTAGTTACCCCCCCCCCCTGACAATATTAGGTTGATGCATGCTTATGGATGTCGTAGTGGGTGTGCAGGGCTGCCGAGATGAGGGGGGGGGACACCATATGTCTATTTTAAAGTCCCAGGCCCTACCGATTGTAGGCACTATAATTATTGCAATCCTAAAATTATGTCACAGAGCGTGGGAAAAATTTTGCGGCAGGGCATTAGGGGTGCACCAGAACTGGTATTTTGAGTCCTGGCTAGATCCATATCTGGCTGGGAATAACCTGTGATCAGACCTTCATTTTTCTTGTGGCGGGCCTGATACCAAATGTTATTAATAGTTTGTGTCCTACAACCGCCTGTACTGCAGTAGTGTAGCTGTGATTGGCTATTTCTAGCATGAATATCAGCCATATTTAATCATTTTTTTGATTGGTTACTACTAATTAGGTAATGAATACAGTATTTAGTAACTACAGCACTTGGACTGTTGCTGTTGACATTTTTTCTTCTGGGACATTTTGATTTCATACTAAATATAAAACTATATAGTGTGGATGGAAAGTATGTAATACAGAGCATGATTGCAGGTTAGGCTGGAAGTTTAAAAAAATCTAATCAACTTTAGTTACTCCCATGTAAGAAACTTCTATACTTAAAAATATGATAAAATGGACCTCAAAGAGTTAGAATGCTGAGGGATGGATCCAGCATGATCTGGTGGAGAGGAGGGGGGGGGGGGCTCTGCAAGCTCTTGTGCCAAGTTGTGTCGGCCGTGTGTGCCACCTGCCTATCAACATACTGTATTTGAATTGTAATTGTTGTTTACATTTCGCTTATCATCATGTTATTGCTCAAATTACTGTATCTGATTTTGTCTCCATTATTTTTTGTTTTATCATGAAAAAATAGCACCCCCCCTGCACAGCCCCTGGGCTAGGGGGAGGGGTGTACACATCACCAGTAAATTCATTCCTGTTAGAATGTAGGTTGTTCAATCTTAGGTTGATGTTTTACCATTTACTTTTTTTTAATGAAGACTGTATTGTAACTATTCTGGTTCCTGCAATAGTTTTTCATCAGTTCCAGCCCAAACCAGGGCTGTACAAAATAAGGGTTACAATTGGAATACATATCTTGCACCACTATAGTAGTAAATCTGCCTCTGAGTCCAGCGCTAGGACATTAAAGCCTGGTTTCCATATGGTCGTAACGGTCGTAAAGATTGAGTCACGATCTTTCTCATCAGCCGAAATACAACATTTTACTGACAACTGAAAATACGCGGAGTGATTATAACTATAGAGAATACTTATGATTTATATGTGGTTAACAGGTATAAACTATTATAAACTGGCCGTTGAGAAAGTCGTGACTCTATTTTTACGACCATATGGAAGCCAGACTTAAGGGAGACAAGAGGTTTTATCAGAACTTTGAAAGATCAGAATTGAAAAATCAGAAGTAATGGTTTCAGGATATGGGCCTTTACTTTTAAATACTGCATGGGCATGAAAATGCGAAATATTTTTCATGTCAAGCGGAAACTGTTGCTTCGCTAATCGGTATGATATATAGAAAATTGAGGCTGAGCTAGCTCTCTTTTCTTTGCTTTTTACCAATAAAACTGCCTGGGTTCCCATGCATATACCAGCTGAACGGTGACTGGACAAGTATAGCCCTGTTCAAGTCGGAGACTAGGCTGGGTTTCAGGGTAAAGGGCACTTTTAATACATAACACTGGAGTCACTGACCAGCATGGGTGGAGTCCCATCCAAAAGGTGCCATCCAGTGTCGGGATTCAGTGAATGGAATGTTCCAAGGTGTTTTCATTGTGTTTAAAAATCCCACTGTTCACCATACCATTCCGAGTCACTATTTTGACGTTCATGTAAAGCCTGGTTTCTATGTGATCGTAACGGTCGTAAAAATTGAGTCGCGATCTTTCTCAACAGCCTATAAATACAACAGTTTAGAACTGAAAATAGGCAGCGTGATTATAAATAGAGAATGCGTATGATTTATATGTGGTTTACATGGTAAAAACTATTATAAACTGACCGTTGAAACCATACAGAAACCTGACTTGAAAGGCCATTACAAACGACACATCACAAGTATCACATATGCAACACTTTAGTTTATATGCCATGACATATATTATTGTCCATATATTTTCAGATTGCGGCTATTTGTAATACTGATGAAGGAGCAAACGATTTGTTCCGTCGTCTGGATGAGTTCATTAAAAATCGGCAGGCAATGGCGAAACCTGTTCAGATGGAAAAAATCTTCGAACAATTAAAGAATGTTTTGAAAAAGGTTTGTGAACTTGAACTGTTTGTGCCAGTCTAGGTAGTGGCAATAATACATACATACAGATATTTCACAGCACACTCCCTATCAGGGCTTTTCAGTGACTGGTTACATTATGAATAGATAGATAGAACCGAACTGACGTGAAGCAGACCGAAGTAGACTTTGAGCTTACAAATGGCGCTTGAGCAGCCGCTATTAGTCCATACCTCATTAATGATCTGCCTCCAGACCTTATGTGCCTAACCCACCCTGTCAACTTTCTCTGTGGGAGGAAACACGGAGTACCCGGAGAAAACCCACGACTTTCGGCAGAGCGTTGACTTACTCTTTTCACATGAGGACTGGGTTCGAGTCACATTGAGAAGTTCTCACCAGGGTTCGTACAAAACTTCAAAGTCCTTGAATGTCCTTGAATTTGTAAAGAAGTACTTGAATGTCCTTGAATTCTTCTTGCTTTAGTTTTTGGATATTTTCTGAAATTGTTTGACATTCAAGACGGGCATTTTGTTGAACTGATTTTGCATTTTCATATCTGACCTCATTATAAAGTTACGTTTTGAACAATTCAACGTCCGATTTTGCTGATTTCTAACACCTTCTTCAGTATTTAGTCCTTGAATTTGCTGACACACGGCCTTGAATGTCCTTGAAAAGTCCTTGAATTTGACTCTTCCTGACATGTACGAACCCTATCTCACTGAGGCTTGAACCTTAGAGGTGAAAGGCAAGTGCGCTAACCACTTCGCCACCGAAGCCCCAATATGAACAAGCTGTCGTTGGTAAGGATGCAACTACCTTAAAAATATAAGGAGAATTTCGACGTTTCTGGAAAACCAGGATACATTATTTCTGAAACACAAATCACACTACAGTATGAAACAAATTAGGTTTCTGAATGGGAAATATTTTTGCTTCTTGCCAATCCTGGTATATATGCTTTCTTTCTCTAATAATATTTTCGAAAGTGAAACGCATAGATATCGTATATACACTAGATAGCGCATCTCTTTTAGTAAAATTGAAGCCATGAATATTACAGCGGTTACCCCCATTCGAATAGATGGTGGCCATGTTGGTAATTCCCACTCGCTATAACAAACGCTTAAAAAACAACAATAATTTTCATCATTTGAATAGTTTAAAAATGTATTTGGAATAGGTTTAACTTAATGTTTAAGTTCCCTGTATAAGAAATAGAAAACATGCGAATCTTCTCATTTCATGGGAATATCCTGAGTCTGCAATCACGGCTTCAATTTTTGAATTACAGAATAATTAGATGCACTATCTAGTGTATATAAGATATCTATGGTAAAACGTTCGTGGAAAAATCGTTATTTTCAAATGTATTTGCGACAATATTTCCAAGAATATGATTTGAAGTATAATAATTATACTGTATAGTACGTGAATTATGTTAATTTTTTGCCAAATTTCTTGCAGGGTGTGAAAGGTCCAATAAAATATGAGAATTGTCTTCACATTATGGCGCAAATTTCATCTGCTAATCCCGAAATGTTCATTGATGGAGAAACGCCTCAATTGATACCATTCTATACCTTAGGCTTTATATACGTATATCTGTATGTCTATGCATCAACAATACTGACCACGACACAGCAAAAAAATCATTTTCTTATTATTAAGAAAACAATTCTTAATTTAAGAAAATATTTCTTAAAATGAGAAACTAATTTTCTTAATAAGAAAAACGATTCTTAAAATAGGAAATATTTAATTTGGGAGACATTTTGTTCTTTTATTTTTTCTTCATATCAAATAATTTTCTTAAGAAAATATGTTTTTCTTGTTTTAAGAAATAGTTTCTTTCCGTGTTTTTCTTCGAACGATTAATTAATTAAGTTAATCTTACAAACAGGTTGGAGCCCGTTGAGGGTCAAGCCCCGTCAAGGGGTGCGAAGCTCCACGCCTTACGACTATACAAAGCTCAAACAAAAATATCCTTTGGTTCCGGTTTTGTATATATATTCCTGAAAAAATTAGGTCGGGGAAATTAAAAAAAATTTGGGGGGTTTACATTGGTCAGCATGGTACGATTGCATTGGCAATTGCGCATGCCACAACACAAACATTTCAAAGAGCAATAAATGTGACGAAAGACGCATTTTTCGCCTCACGTTTTCGCCATAAGGCGAGCGACGAAAAAAATAGGGTCAGTGGGTGAGCAAACAACCGTAACATGAACATTTAAAACATATTAGCACTGTTGAATATCCGGGCTTACCGATCGAAAGCTTTGCAATAAATATACGTGGTGTTTCCACAAACCATATAACTTATATTATACTATCGCCATGCAAGACTACAAAGAGCGTATGACAGATTTGAATGATGTTATGTTTTTGTGTTGTTTTTTTGTTTTCCTCATTACATTTTGAAGGGTTTTGAAAAAATGCTTGTATTGAAGTGCAGCGATAAACACGAATCAAGACGTATTTCAGTGATTGGCAACGTACTGGAAATTGTGGCTGTAAGATATTACTTTAATTCTTAATCTTAGGCCTGATTTGACGGAAATGTCAAACGGTTTGGGGTGGGATCCGTCGCCCCCGTTGATCTTCCCTCCCCCCCCCCCCCCCCCCCCCCCCCCCCCCCCCCCTCCACCCTATCGCACTGACTGTCTGAGCAGACTCTCTAAATCGTAAAGTGAATTTCCACCCTTGTTCTTATTTCTTGTTTTACATATTACAGGCAATATCGGATGTCAGCGAAGATGGTGAGTGGAAACAAACTCATTAATAATTCATGAGTATTTAGCCAACCGTATTGCTTTATTTCGCTCACATGATAATACTGGATACGTATCCTGACGTGTCCAAAGGAGAAGTTTGCGCGTTATTGGTTTGCCGGTGGACGCACTTCCTTCGAACTTTTTAACAATAAACTTTAAATTTTTATTGTAATTAGATATGTAGTTCATAATTTTAGATTGATATTGTAATAGGAATGTTCGGTATGAGAAATTTCCGGTATCGGTTACCGAAAAAATTATACCGATATTATCAGTATACCGGTTTTCCTTTGATAATTATAAAGGAAAATTCTTTAATGGAAATTTGAAGGAAATTTTGAGTAATTCTAAAAGGGAAAACGATAATTTTGAAGCTGTTTCGAAATTTAAATCATTTCATTAGAAAGTTCTTTGAATTGCCATTCAGTAGTAAAATAAAGGTTATGGTTTTGCCATATAGTTGGTAAATGTAACACGGTATACCGAAAAATTCCGGTATATCGGAAATTTCGGTATATCGGTATGGCTGAATATCCGGTATCGATATACCGATATTGATTTAATACCGATATTTTCGGTATATCGGTATACCGAACAGTCCTATATTGTAAGTCCACTGTATTTTTCTACCTAAGGTAGATTATCATTGAGCTCTATATCATTATTATATTATGTTGTTATGAAGATGATACTATGATACGATTGCATTATATAGGTAAATCCGCCGTTGTTGATTTCGTCCTTCCCTGTCTGAACTTATTGGCCGACAAGCAACAACATATCACAATAAGAGTAGAGGTAAGGCTGGCTGGAAAGCTCTTCCGGCAGGGGAAGATAATTCAAGATAATTTAGCTGTACCTTATTGATACTCCGATGATTTTTGTGGCGTGGTTGGGCTGGTACAAACTTAAGACTAAAGGCGAACTTAAACCCCGGTCAAACGAGGATGAGAGTTAGCAGTCACGCATTATTACGGGGGAAATTTCAAGCCCTAGATTAACAAAGTAAAGGTTTAATGAGTGTTCCAACTATGTTTTAACTTCAATAGAATACATGATAGTGTTGGGAAAGCATTAAGAACAGCTGACCAAGGTCGCGTGATTGACAGCTCTCATGCACTCTCATCCTCGTTTCATCTGGGCTAAAGTCTTCAGCAAAGTTTTTCAAAAGATATCCATCCTTTCATCCACAAGATATCCATCCTTTCATCCAAAAGATATCCATCCAAAATATATTCATCCTTTCGTCCAAAAGATATTCATTCTTTCATCCAAAACATATCCATCCTTTCATCCAAAAGATATCCATCCAAAATATACTATTCATCCTTTCGTCCAAAAGATATTCATTCTTTCATCCAAAAGATATGATCCAGAATATATTCATCCTTTCATCCAAAAGATGTTCATTCTTTCATCCAAAAGATATCCATCCTTTCATCCAAAAGCTTTTCATCCTTTCATCCAAAAGATATCCATCCTTTCATCCAAATGATAGCATGATCCAAAATATATACATCCTTTCATCCAAAAGATATTCATCCTTTCATCCAAAAGATATCCATCCTTTCATCCAAAATATATTCACCTCTCGTCCAAAAAATATCCATCCAAAATATATTCACCTTTACATCCAAAAGATATCCATCCTTTCATCCAAAAGATATCCATCCAAAATATTATCATCATTTCATCCAAAAGATATTCATCCAAAAGATATCCATCCAAAATCCTTTCATCTAAAATATATTCACCTCGCGTCCAAAAATATCCATCCTGTCGTCCAAAAGATAACCATCCTTTCGTCCAAAACATATCCATCCTTTCATCCAAAAGATATTCATGCATTCCGTAGTCTCATCCCATCCCTTGGCTAATTTGAGCAAAATGTAAGTACGCATGCAGATAACAAGAGTACCGCATATACCTAGTCAGTACGTGGTTCTTAGGTATAATAATATATTGGTGTATAACGTTATGATTCCGGCTCGAAAGGAATAACTGGATCAAGTGGTGTAATCAGTTTGAGCTAATAATAACGATTTATTTTACGTTCTATAGGCCAACCGGTTTCTCAATGGTACGATTGAATCATTCCTACGTTTAAATAGAGATCTTGATTTACCGCAATTGGCATTTGTGTAAGTCTATATTTGTTTCTTTCTGTTTTTTTCACTCAAACGTTTTAGGGGATTGTTGGTGTTGAGGCTAGCCCGGGTACCGGACTAGCTTGTGTTTACATGAGACATTTTAGACTGGCTGGCTCGCCAAAACAAAGCTCTCGGGCTAAGTTATATAATAGAAGCACATTTTCCAATGATTGTGAAATTATATTTTCGCTGACTATAACGATCACAGAGTCAGAGACCTTTCAAGCTAGATCGATATCCTTTGGGAAAATGTCATTTACAGAATTATATTTGCCTTAACATTCGGCTCGGGTGGCGAGCTAGGCCGGGTCATTATGTTTATATAGAAAATTCCAGTCCCGCTAGCGGGTTGGCTGAGAAATATAGGATCGATCGGGAATCCGTAACAGCAGGATAGGCCTAAGTTAACAAAATAGTACTGTAAAGGCTAGGATTAACGGTATCCTACCCTGTTGAAGTTGCAATCGTAATTACTGCCGGCATGCAGGAGTTGTAAAAAGAGGTGGGAATAATTTGACGGAGGCCTTTGTTTTTGTCATTTTTTTATAGATCAAACTTTGATGACCTTATAGTCAATGCTGGTGGTAAGAAAGCTGATTTCTTTGCGTTCTGTTGCGATCCCAGACAGGGCCGTTGCGAAGGGATATGGATTGGGGGGGTGTCGAAGGGCAAATTGCCGAGTGACGCTAGTTGAATTTGCCGAGTTTTTCAAAATTTTGTAAA